GGTTAAGTGTCTCCTCAGGACTTATGCATCTCACTCACATAGATCTCTCTTGTTCATTCAGCCCCAACATCACTAGCCTCCTTGCTATTTTTTTTCTTTTTTTCCATGTACCTATTTGTGTGTGTGTGTGTGTGTGTGAGAGAGAGAGAGAGAGAGAGAGAGAGAGAGAGAGAGAGATGTGGAGGTCAGAGGACAACCTCCAGGAGTTAGTTTTCTCCTTCCACTATTCCAAGGTTGGAATTCTATTAGCCCTGGTGGCAATATATCTGCTGAGCCAGATATGCCTACTGCTCTTTGTATTCTTGTTCTTTCTGTCTAGAAACCCTTTTCCTTATCTGCTATGCTACCTCCCCCACTTCATTTAGGACTCTGCTCAAGTGCCATCTCAACAGAGAGGTTTTCCTTAAGCAACATAAAGAAAACATCATTCTCCATTTATAAAAAAATTCTGCTTTATTTTTCCATATGGCGCTATTAATACTTGATATATCTGGTTGTTTATTTTTTTTTAATTTCATTTATTTTAATTAATTAATTAATTAATTTTTGAGGCATGGACTTGCTATGTAACTTATCCTGGCCTTGAGTTCCTGATCCTCTTACCTCTGCTTCTTGAGTGTTGGGATTACATACACACACCTCCATGCCACCAGTGTGAAGATTAAAGGATAGCTTATGGAAGCTTGTTTTCTCTTTCTACCTTGTGGATTCTGGGGATCAAACTGAGGTTATCAGGATTGGTGGTAAGCACCTTTATCCACTTAGCTACCCTGACAGTCCTTTATTTAATTTCTTTTTTGTTTTTTTTGGTCTTTTTCTGAGACAGGGTCTCTTCCCATAGTCCTGGCTGGCCTTGATTCACTATGGACACCAGGCTGGCTTTGAATTCACAGAGATCCATCTGCCTCCCAAGTACTGGGATTAAAGGTGTGCACCATCACACCCGGCTCTTAATTTCTACTTTTAGAATTTATTTTTTACTTTTAGGCTGAGGCAGGAGGATTGCCAAAAGTTTGAGGTCAGTTTGGGCTGCAGGCAAGTTTCAGGCCAGCCTGAGCTACAACGTGAAACCCTCTCTCAAAACCCCAAGGTGTAAATAAACAAAAAAATCCCAAACAACAAAAAAGCCCTCCTCAAACCAAAAAACAACCTACCTACCCCCAAACAACAAAATTTAAGATCTAAAAAAATGTGTATATGTTCCTCAAGTTCCATGAGAACAGGGGCTGTGTCTGCTTGTTAATCATCATATCCCCAGTGCTTAGAATTCCTTGTACATAATAGATGTTCAACACAGTGTTTTAAATGAGTGAATGTCTTTGAACTTTAAGTGAACTTGAATGAACTTTGCAGTTATTGTGAGTATATGTTTGGGTGTATACACCTGTAGTAACCATGTATGATTAGGGGGTCCTTCCAGCGTGCATTTTAATAGTAATAGTTCATCATCCATGTAAATACTGACCCAAGCATTATTTAATTTTAACAAGTCCATACATTCAAATCTATTGTGCTTGCTTTTCACAAATCCCAATGGCTTATTTACCATGTATAACAAATGCTTGGCATAAAAATACAAGAGCATTTCCCCTACTAAATCTACATGGTGCCATAAGAACAGCTGAGTGGGATGGTACAGCATTTTGCTGTGATGCAATGAACTGACCTTCTGTGGGTTTACATTATACTTCATGGTGTTTACAACATTGAATTTTGATTATAAGATCTCTTTTCCTTTTCTTCCTTTTCTTTTTTTAATTTTTTTAAATTTAATTTAATTTTACTTTTTCACACAGGGCCTTGCTATGTAGCCCAAACAGGCAGGCCCTCACACTCATGATCCTCCTTCGAAATCCTAGGATTATAGGCATGCACCACCATGCCTGTCCTTATAAATTATTTTAAGAGATGATTAGCATTTGACTCAGTAAATAAAGATGATCTGAGCTACTTAAGCATCAGATTACATCTGTCTAATATATATGACTTCAGAAGCTATGCTTTGTAAAATATTTGAATAATTTGAATCATTTACATTTTGTGAACATGTGTAAACAGCTTTCAAAGATAAAATAAGGTGCTAGATCAGATCAATTACTCAGCTCCAAATCATTCAAGGAGCTTAATTTTGTTTATATATTATTAATAGTGAAACCTTGAGTGTATTGGTGATAGTGTAACAAATGTTTCTAATTCCCTTTATATAGCTTTTGCTTCTGCCCAAAGATAGAGATCTTAAAGAGATTGCCTTGACAATCTCTTGTCCTCCATGACAAAATTAGAAAATCCATTCACAAAATAACAAAAGAAATAATTTACTTCTGTTTTATTTTATTTTATTGTGTTTTTTTGAAGCAGGGTCTCCCTGTAGCCCCAGCTGTCCTAGAACTCACTATGTAGACCAGGCTGGCCTTGAACTCACAGAGATCCGCCTGCCTCTGCCTCCCAAGTTCTGGGACTACAGGCGTGTGCCACCACGCCACCACACCTATTTTGGGCTAAATTTGTTGATACTGAATGTTGTATAGATATGATGACTTTTAATAACTGGGGTATTTTATGGACCAAAGAAATAGGTGTGAAAATAATATACAATTATAAATGCATAATTATACATGCTGTTTCGTCACTCTAGCCTTATTAGCATAATAAAATGTTTACTATGTGAAGCACAATTTCATATCTCCATGTGAATTTTGGAGAAAAATGCTAGTTATTGTTTTATTGTTCACAGGAAGGGAGGCAATAATAAGTTAATAAAGATCTATCATCGGGATGGTAAATATGGCTTCTCTGATCCTCTGACATTTAATTCTGTGGTGGAGCTCATTAACCACTATCATCATGAATCTCTTGCTCAGTACAATCCCAAACTTGATGTGAAGCTGATGTATCCAGTGTCCAGATACCAACAGGTATGGTCACAGGAATTCATGATAGCAATTGAGCAAGGTACTATTTAATATAATCTGATTCTCTTCTCAGATAAATGTTATTTGTCCTTATTCAATTAAAAAGGAATTTCATCATTTAAATTTCTTAACATTTTAGGAATTTTATTTTAATCTTTTTTTTTGTTTGTTTTGGTCTTTTTGAAGCAGGGTCTTCCTATAGCCCCAGCTGTCCTGGAACTCACTGTGTAGACCAGGCTGGCCTTGCACTCACAGAGATCCACCTGCCTCTGCCTCCCAAGTGCTGGGACTACAGGCGTGTACCACCATGCCCGGCTCATTTTAATCTTTTAAAAAATATTTTATTAGTTTTATTTTATGTGTATGAATGTATTGTCTGCATGTATGTTAAGTGCACCTGTGTCGTGCAATTCCCATGGAGGTCAGAAGAGGGTTTCGGATCACCTAGAACTGGAGTTATAGATGGTTAAATGCCATATGGGTGCTGGAATGGAACCCAGGTCCTCTGCAAGGCCAGCCAGTGCTCTTAACCACTGAGCCATCTCTCCAGCCCCTAATCTTTTTTTCCAGATAGGGTCTTAGGTAGCCTAGGCTGGTCTAATAATCACTGTGTATCTGAGGATGACCTATCTGTCCTTCCTCTGTGTATGTGTGCGTGTGCGTGAGTGTGTGTGTGTGTGTGTGTGTGTAGGACGACCCCAAGTGTTGTTCCTCAGGAGTCATCCACCTTGTTTGTTCCTTTTGAGGCAGGGTTTCTTACTGGAACCTGGGGCTGATTAGAAGATCAGTGGCCAGTGAGCCCCAGGGATCCTTCTGTCTTTGCCTCCCTACCAATAGGATTATAAGCATGTATTACCAGGCCTAGCTTTTCTCATAGGTGCTGGAGATCAAAGTCGGGTCCTCAGGCTTAGGTGGCAAATGCTTTATGGACTGACCTATCACTCCAGCCCTATTTCTTAAAGTTTTGGTTTGTTTTTTAGAGATAGGGTCTCACTATGTAGCCCCAGCTGGCCTAGATCATCCTAGACTGGCTTTGATCTTTTGGAGATTGGCCTGTCTCTGCCTCCCTAGTTCTGGAATTAAAGACATGCACACCTTTTAAAATATTAGTTTTGCTGGGCATGGTGGTATAGGCCTTTACTCCCAAGACAGAGGCAGGTGAATTTCTGTGAGTTCAAGGCCAGCCTGTCTGCAGGGAGACTCTGTCTCAAAAACACCAAAATAAATAAATGAATAAATAAAGATTAGTTTTATCTGATATAAGGTGATGTTAATGTTAACAAAAAAGATTTAGTGTTTTCCCATACTTGGTATTAATATATTTGCTAAAATTAATAATTGGCAGTTTAAACATAAGTAGACCTAGAAAAATATGTCTGAATTAGATTAATATTATCTTTTCAAAATCTGTCTGTATAGGATCAGTTGGTGAAAGAAGATAACATTGATGCAGTAGGCAAAAAACTGCAGGAGTATCACTCTCAGTATCAGGAGAAGAGCCGAGAGTATGACAGGCTGTATGAGGAGTACACCAGGACATCCCAGGTTGGTACAGTTTTGTTGTTTGCAGTAATAGATATGTGGTAGTGTGGTTATGTCAGATTTTCTATAACTCACTTGATGGTCTTCAACTGCCTGCATTTCCTACCTATCCCTTTTGAGACTTTGGTAATATGAATCTGCTTCTACTATTCATACCTTTGTTGTTGCTATTGTTAAAGACAATTTTGTATCACTATTAACTAAGGGCTGGGTATGTGGCTAGGTTGGTAGAGTGCATTGTATTTGCCTATCATTCACAAAGCTGTAGGTTTGATCCCAGCCCCAAATAAAACTGGATGTGGTGGTAAAAGTCTGTAATCCTAGCACTGGAGTGGAGACAGGAGGATCATCCTCAGCTACATAGCTAGTTGGAGGCTAGTCTGGGCTATACAAGACCCTGCCTCAAATAAAAATTGTAACATGTCATACGCCTATAATCCCAGCACTAGCAGCCTGAGGCAGGCAAGCTTCAGGTTAGAAGCCAGCCTGGGCTGCATAGTGATACTTGTTACAAACAAACAAACAAACAAGAACAATAAAAGGCAGGCAGAATGACTCAGCAGGTAAAGGTACTTTCTATGAAAACCTAGTGACCTGAGTTTGATCCTGGAACCCATGTAAAAGGTAGAAGAGGAGACTGCTTCGTGAAGCTGTCCTCTAACTTCACATGCACATCAGCATGAAACCTGCCCCCTCTCCCCATAATAGTTAATTAAATTATTTTTAAATTAGTTAACCTCACTTAGTTGCCTCTATCATGACATGAAGCCACCCCTTATTAGAGTTCAAAGTCTATTTCTCCTTCAGCTTTCAAGTCCTGGATAAATAGGCTTTAGTTTTGTGAACTTCTCTTTATCATCCATCAGGTAGTACTTCTTGTATATTCTCAATAATCCTTAATTGAATTTAGTAAATATGGGGTAGTTTAGGAACTATCCTACCATCATGAAAATTTCTAGAATTTCAAATATTCAGGATAGTAATCTTTCTAGACTTTATGTATAGTTATTACTTTTCTAAGAAGTATACTGAACAAAAAATTTAGCCCTTGTAAAAGATTTAAGGGCAGTCACAATTCAGATGTTAAAATCTCTTATCCTGGGTCAAGGCAAAGATGCCTACCACCAGGCCTGAAAACCCAATTTGATCCCCAGGACACATGGTGGAAGGAGAGAACTAAATCCTACAAGTTGTCTTCTGATCTCCATATAGGCATTGGTGTGTACATGCACATGGGTGCACACACAATAAATAAATAATAAAAATAGAAAATTAAAGTTTTCTATTCTCAGAGTTCATCAAAATATATAGGACTATTGGCTGGGTGTGGTGGTACACACCTTTAATCCCAGCACTTGGAAAGACAGGAGACAAATTCAAGGCCAGCCTTATCTACATAGCAAGTTCCAGGTCAGCTGGGGCTACAGGGAGACCCTGTCTCAAGAACACACACACATATATATATATGTATATATATGTGTGTGTGTATATATATATATATACACATACTATGTAATATATATGTAAATGTATATGTATATACACACACACATCTAGGACTATTTACTCTGAGGCTGAATGGTTTAACTGGGCTGTTGGCTCTGTAGATCTGTTTATATTGTAGAGTTTAGTTTTATATCTTAGTACATCCGACTTTAGCAGCGATTCTGTTTGTTATTTATTTATGTAGTTAGTTAGTTTCTAATCATATTAATCTGTTGACCAATGTGTTTGGAAAACTCAGCATGAACTTTAGAAATGAAAGTAAGAATAAATAGACTCTTCAAGTCTCTTCAGAGAATAAGATTTTGAATTTGGGGCTTTAGAAATGAAAGTAAGAATAAATAGACTCTTCAAGGCTCTTCAGAGAATAAGATTTTGAATTTGGGGCATGAACTCCTTGGCTCTATTCATTCACTCAGTGACTAGGTAGAACTTGATCCTTAAGTTAAGGTGTTAAAAGCCAATCTCTTGGCAGCTAATAGACTTTTCTGTCGTTCTTAGCCATATTTTAAGTAATGGTTCTTTTTATTTATTTTATAATTTGAATGCTGTAGGTATGTAAATAGTAGGGAAAGGTTGAATAAAGGCCCTCTTATAGAGTCTTACAATTCTTTTTGTTTGTTTGAGGCAAAGTCTTATGTAACCTAGGCTTACCTTGAACTTCTGGTCTTCCTGTCTCTGCCTCCTGAGTGGTGAGATTACAGATGTGTGCCACCATGCCTAGTACTGGGTACTTAATTGAGGGCTTTGTGCATACTAGGCAAGCACTCTACCAACTGAACTACTTTCCCAGCCCCCCCCTCTTTCAGTGCTGGGGACTAAACCCAGGACCTTTCACAACTAGATGTACTGTGTTACTGAGCCACATCGTATACATTTTGATGAACTCTGAGGATAGGAGACTTTGCATTTTTTATTTTTATTATATTTATTTATTGTGTGTACACCAGCCTGCTTAATCGGTCTGATATCTGATATGAGATTATAATCAGAATTATAAGATTTATTTTTAAGACCAGGGCTACAAAAAATATGATGAAATATTTGTTTTTTTGAAACAGGTTTTCATGTACCCCAGGCTAGCCTCAAACTTGTTGTTTAGATGAGGCTGGCATTGAATGTGATCTTCTTGTCTTTGCCTTCTGATAGCTGAGATTAGTCATATACCACCATGCCTATAGCTATAAAGTAGATATTGTTTGTTTTCCATACTGTAGGAAATACAAATGAAGAGAACTGCAATTGAAGCTTTTAATGAAACAATTAAAATATTTGAGGAGCAGTGTCACACACAAGAACAATACAGCAAAGAATATATTGAGAGGTTTCGCAGAGAGGGGAATGAAAAGGAGATTGAACGGTAAGTCTACTTAATCCCTTCAAGTGCATTAGTGGCATAAAACTTCTTTTCGGGGCTGGAGTGATGGCTCAGCAGTTAAGAACATTGACTGTTCTTGTAGAACACCTGGGTTCGATTCCCAGCACCCACATGGTTAGCTAACAACTGTCTGTAACTCCAGTTCTAGGGGATCCGACAGCCTCTTCTGTCCTCCTCAGGCATTGCACTACATGGGTGCACTTACCTACATGCAGGCATAACACTCATAAAATAAAATAAAAAAATAAATAAAATATTTTTTTTAAACTTATTTTCTTTAGTAATTTCTATATCATCTGTTTTTACCCCCTCAAATTGCACAGCCATGCTGAATAGAACAGCTCCTCTTGTCTGTGCTTTTCTCTGTGCCTGTAAATTGTGAATTCTTACCTGTCCTTTAGCACTCAGATTAGACATGACTTTTTCCAGAAAATCTTTCTCAATACCCATTCATGTAGGGTATTGAGAAATTTGTGTCAGCATTCGCATGTTTGTGTCTGGTTCTGATCCCTGTATAACATTTTCTAGAGGCTATGTTCAATACAACTGCAAACTCACTGACAGGATGTGTAGTGGCATATTTTTTCCTGATAGAGTCCAACACCTGTGTCTAGCACACATGAGATATGGTACTAACTGGGAACATTGGCCTGTCCCTATAATCCCAGCTGTTCCAGGCAGGAGGTTTGCTTGAGCCAGGAGTTCAAACCAGCCTAGTCAGCATAGTGGGACCTTCTCTCACACAACCAACCAAATTAACTAACATACAAACAGGCCCAACAAAATATTAGGACCATGTTTATAGTCTATAGTTCTTTTGCTTGATTGTTAATTATTTAATTTTTGAGGCAGGGTCTCCCTGTGCCCCAGCTGGCCCAGAGTTTGCTATGGAGACCAGGCTGGCCTTGATCTCACAGAAATCTGCCTTCCTCTGCCTCCTGAGTGTTGGGACTAAAGGTGTGTGCCACCTTGCCCAGATTTGATTGTTATTTTAGCTTTACTATGTCATTTACTTTCACAGAATTATGATGAATTATGATAAATTGAAATCACGTCTTGGTGAAATTCATGATAGTAAAATGCGTCTAGAACAGGATTTGAAGAAACAGGCTTTGGACAACCGAGAAATAGATAAAAAAATGAATAGCATCAAACCTGACTTGATCCAGCTGCGTAAGATCCGAGATCAGCATCTTGTGTGAGTAGTCTGGGAATGAATATAGAAGGGGATACTAGCATTAAATTACTACTGGGACTTGAAATGTTGATGATGGAAGAAGAAATTTATGATTAAAAACTGGCCAGTGAGATGTAAGAATTTAGGAATGAGGTCCTAGGATGGGACAAATCAAACCAGAATGTAGGACTCTATTTCATACAGATTCCTGGGAAATGTAAGCGGATGGCTGTGGTACGAGAGAAGCATTACAGATTTAAAAGTACATGTTTATATTTTCTTAAAACATAAAAACTAAAAACTTTGGTTTTATGATGAACCACACAGAAATTACCCTTCAGGGGCACTAAGAGTGGGAGATGAAAGTTAAGTAAACACAACAGTCTCTTAAAAGGATTTTTACATTTAAGATGTGAAAGTGTAGCCAGGCATGGTGGCGCACGCCTTTAATCCCAGCACTCCAGAAGCAGAGGCAGGCGGATCTCTGTGAGTTCAAGGCCAGCCTGATCTACATAGTGAGTTCCAGGCCAGCTGGAGCTACAGGGGGACCCTGTCTCAAAAAAAGACCAAAAAAGAAGTGAAATTCTGGGGACTGGAGAGATGAATGAGCAGTTAAGACACTTACTGCTCTTCCAAAGAACCCAGGTTTGGATTCCAGCATCCACATTACAGCTAACACCCACCCTTAACTCCAGTTCCTACGTCCTCTTCTGGCCTCTGTGGACACCAGATGTGCAATGGACCAACACACATGTAGGAAAACCACTCATACACATTAAGAAAAAAAATGACATTCTGTCTTGCCAGATGTGGTGACACATGCTGGTAATCTCAGGACTCAGAAGGTAGAGGCAGGAGGATCAGGAGTTAAGGCCAGCCTCAGCTACATAGCAAGTTTGAGACCAGCCTGGGCTGTATGAGACCCTTGTCTTTAAAAAAAAAAAAAAAAAGGAAAAAGAAATGTAGGGCTGGCAAGATAGCTCAGCTGGATAAAAGTCACCAAGTCTAACAACGTGAGTTCAATGCCTAGGACTCACATGGTAGAAAGAAAGAACCAATTCCCACTGTATTAGTCACTTTTCTGTTGCTGTGTTAGAAACACTGACCCAAGCAATTTATAGAAGGAAGAGTTTGAGCTTATGGTTCCACGGGAATTACAGTCTGTCATGGCAGGGAGGCATGGTGGCTGGAGGTGGCTGGAGCAGGAGCAGCAGAAGCTGAGCTCTCACATCATCACACAGGCACAGGAAGCAAGAGAACAACTGGAGATCTGGCAAGGCAAGAACTCTCTCCCCAGTGACGTGCTTCCTCCAGGATAGCCACACCTTCTAAAACCTCCCAAAACAGTGCCACCATCTGGGGACAAGATGTCCAAATACTTGGAGCCTATGGGGGACATTATCATTCAAACAATCATATTCTACCCCCTGGCCCCTATAGGCTCATGACCATATAAAACGCAAAATGCATTTAGTCCAACTTTAAAAGTCCCCATAGTCTTTATCAGTCTCAATACTACATCTCAATACTATTTAAAAGTCCACAGTCCAGTCTTTTCTGAGACTCAGGTAAATATCTTAAGCCTCTATAAAATCAAAAGACAAATTACATACTCCCAACTACAGTGGAACCGAACACACATTACCATTCCAAAAGGGAGGAATGGAGGGATAGTAAGGAAATACTGGACCAAAACAAGACCGAAAACTAGCAGGACAAACACCAAATCTAGTAGCTCCAGGTGTGACTTCTGGGACTTTACTTCCAAAGAGCTTAGATGGCTCAGCCTCTCTAGCTTTGCTGTGTGCAACACACATCTCTCTCTTGGGCTGTACCATTCCCTGTGTGCAGGTCTTCTTGGCAGATGCCCACAGCTCTGGCATCACGAACTTCTTGGGGTCTCCACTGCCAACCAGGCTTCACCTTCACAGCTTCACACAATGGCCTATCAGGGCCTTCTCTAGGCAGGAGAACCCCTGCTGCATGCTGCCTGGCCTCAGAGTCTCTCTGAAACTGTGGAGGAAGAACTGATGACCCCTTCACTCTTGCACACTTCATGCCTCTAAAGCCAGCACCAGGTGAAGGACACTGCCAAGTTTGACTGCAAGTTTGGGGTGGACTCCAGCCTGCTTTATCCCTTTTAGAAGCTTTTCTCTTCAGTGGTCCCTGCAGCATTTTCCTTTCACAAGTTGGAGGCTTAACTGGATGTGGTCTTGCTTTGGAGGCACTCTGTGAGTTGAGGCCAGCCTGGTTTACATATTGAATCTCTTGTGAGCTGGAGGCCAACCTGGTTTACATATTGAATTCCAGGCCAGCTGGGGCTACAGGGAGACCCTGTCTCAAAAAAAAAAATTTAAAAATGGAATAGATGGCTTAGTGGTTAACGGCTACTCTTGTAGAGGACCCAAGTTTGGTTCCCAGCACCCACATGACAGCTAACAACCATCTGTAACTCCAGTTCCAGGGGATCTAGCACCCTCTTCTGATCTTCACAGGCACTGCATGCATGAGTGCACTTATACCCATACACATAAAAAATTTTAATCCCCCCCCCCAAAATTAAAATACATAGAATAAAAAAGTTTCTAGTATATAATTCCATTTGCTTGACGCTAAATTGTGGACAAAACCTTTATGATAGAGTTACTAATAGTAATTGTTTATGGAGGGGATATTGATGGAAAAATGGATCCTGGAAATGTTCTGAATCTTTCTTTGGGTTTTTTCTTTTTTTCTCTTTTTGAGACAGGATGTACTATATAACCCTGGCTGGCCTGGAGCTTGCTTTGTAGATCAGGCTGTTCTAGAACTCACAGAGATCTGCCTGCCTTTGTTTCCCAGGTCCTGGGGTTAAATGTGTGTGATATCATACTCAGCCTTCTGAATCTTGATATGAGTGTGGTTAGGTGTATTTATATAGAGAGAATGACTCATCAATCTGTATACATAAAATCAACATATATTATATATATCACAACTCAGTAAGTACATTATAAGAATTTTTTTTTCACCCCTCTCCCCGGGGCCTGCCCAGGAGCCAGGGGTGAGAATATTTTTATTATTCCAAAGAGAAATAACTTGAATCAGGTTACACAAAAATATATATAAAATGAAGTTTAAGGGTGGAAAAGTAGGGATAAGAAATCAAAGACCAAAGCCAGGTGTGACATAGCCTCCTCAATACCAACACTTGGGAGGTAGAGCCCGGCAGATCTCTGTGAATTTGAGGCCAAGGGATGAAAATTTTTAATTTATTTTTTTTAATTAAAGAGGAATTTGGGCTGGGTGGAGAGCTCCATAGGTAAAGTGCTTGCTGTGTAAGCATGATGACCTGAGTTCACATCTCCAGCGCTTATATAAAAGCTGATTATGGTGGTGCATGTCTGTAACTCCAGTGCTGGGAGTAAGGGTATGTGGAGACAGATGCCAGGGGCTCACTGGCCAGCCAGTCTAGTCAAAACAGTTAGTTCAGTAAGAGACCTTGACTCAAAAAAAAAAAAAAAGATGGAGAGATAGAGGAAGATACCCTACCTATGTCAACTTCAACTTCTGGCCTTCACATGTGTGTGCACAGGCAAGCACACCCCCACGCAGATGTGTACACATAAAAGAAAAAAATAGAAAAAAGTGGTTGTTCATGTGCAATTATCTTTTTTAAAAAATTATTTATTTAATAACCACATACTTAGAAGAAGCATTTCATTACAACAGCATTGACATATTCAATAACAATTTCCTGAGCTAAGATGCATCTCTTTTAAAACTGCTGTAAATTTTTAGGTTTACAGTTGAATTTTTACAGTTATACAATATTGTACTCAGTATAAACCCTATAAGACATAAAATTAAATGAGGTTTTAACTTTTAAAAAAGATTTCCATTTCATTATTAAAATACAGAGTTTCATGCAGAAAACTTGTTTTAATGTAATTGACATTAAGATGTTTGCACATGCGTTTCTAATCTCTATATATCAGATTATTACTAGTCACAGTCGGTTACTTTCTGAGCTCCTTGGCATCTGATCATGGATATAAAGTCATCAGGTAGATTTCAACAGTAATGTTTTTCACATCTACTAATTATTGAGTAGCAAATTTTTATGCTTCAAAGAATTATTATTTTTTAATTATTTAA